GGGGTGGGGGTGGGAGTTCACGGTAGAGGAACTCTAGGGTTGGGTGAAGGAAGCCCGGTTGAGGGAACGGGGTCCCAGATTAGGGGCACGTGCACGTTGGCAAAGAAGCTGTAGAAAATGCAGCCAAAATCTTGTTTTGCTCTCCTCCCAACTCATATTGTCCCCTCCCTACCTTTGAATAGTTACCTTCCAACACAAGCAACAATAAAGGTAAGGGAGAAAGAGAAACTACCTCGCAGCCACCTTCACTCTAGCCCAGCCCCACGGTCCCGGCCCAGCGGCTCGTGCGTTGCTTTATTTTATTTTTTCTGAATGGTTGTAACAGCTCCAATCTGCCTAGATACACCGACAACCTGCTCTATCATTGGTCGCTTCTGCCACCCGGAGACAGACGGCGCCCGGCTAGCGCTGGCGGCATAGAAAAGCGGCCTGGTAACAGAATCTGATTGGTCAATAGGAGAGGGACAATCCAAAATTGGTCTTATTTGAGTCTAGAGGGGGAAGTCCGGGTTAGGTTTCAGTTAAAATTGGGGTCGGTTGGGACTGCCGGTCCCAAGAGGTTCTTCTCTTAAAGGGACCGCAGGACGAGAGACCCGGAGCTTGGTTTCCTTTGGAGTTTTATTTTCTGTTGCCCCCACTTTCTGTTTTTCTATTTTGTTTTTGGTGATTAGAACTACAAAAAGAAAAGCATCAGTAGATGAATAAATAAGTATAAAACTGAGGTGTAGTTATTATGGAAGTTCGCTGTAAACTCATATAACGAGTTGAACTATTCCTCTCCCCCATCCTCCTGCTCCAACCCCACGTCAAACACACGAATGCAAGCACTCACAAACCTGCAAACACAGGCTCTCCTACCTTTCCGATGGAGCCCTCCAAAAAAAAACTCAGCAGCTGCACCACATTAAACTAAAAGGCTTCCTCACCCCCAACTCTGCACTCAAAGAACATTGGCATTTTGACCGACTCCCCCAGGGGATGCTGGATGCCCATACAAGTTTGTTTTTTGCTTTTTACCCCTAGTGAACACTGTACTGAATACATTATGGATTAATTTTTTTTTTTTTAATGCATTATGGGTTCTTAACCCTTTTAGTTAAAACTTCTTGAGGTCACAAATCCCGGAGAATCAGATAAAAGGAATGGGCCATCCACCATGAAAAATGCATATACATATATCCATGGGACCAGCTTCTGCATCTAATTTCAGAGGTCTCAAATTCCAGGCTAGTGACCTCTTGTGTGGATGTAGTTTGTTTTGTACAGCAGATAGTTACGCCCAAAGCCATATTTGCAGTCCTGACTTCTTATTATCATAGTGCCTGTGGGCAGGAGGCTGGCTTGCAGAATGTGCCTTTTGGATATTTAAATGAATATATATATATGTTTTGTATATTGTGCATCAAGCATTTTTGCTTTGTTCATTTGTGAAATATAAGATGTAAATGGAGAGCCACGGGGAGGAAATTGTAATCATTGAGATTAAACAGTGTATAACTTGTTGAATGTAAAGCTGATGATCTTGTCTGTAAACCTTCACTCAATTCACACAAAAAAGTTAAAAAGAATGGTGAGAATATACAACGTTTCCTGATTTTAAACCATTCAGTATCCCATTTTTCTGTTCTAATAACTGCCTCTTGTTCTATGTGCAGGTTTCTCATGAGTACAACAAAGTGTTCTGGAATTCCCTTTCTTCTTAGTATCATTCACAGAGTTGAATGTCTTTGGATAGTCAATAAAACACAAACATCTTTCTTGTATTCTCTGTACCACTTAAGCACTCCACTAAATACTAAACACCTAATGTAATGCTCACAGCAACTCTATGAAGTAGAGATACTATTACTATCCTCATTTTACATACAGATGATGTGACTGAGACATTGAGAGGTTTATAATCTGCCCACATTTATACAGTTAGTAGGTGATAGAGTCGAATCTGAACCTAGGCTGTCTGGATCTAGAATTGGTACAATTCAAATAAAAATCTTGACAAACTTTCTTCTTTGTGGAACTTAAAATCTTAAGCTAAAATTGATATGAAACAACAAAGGGCTAAGAATAGACGAGATACTAGGGTAAGTAAAAAAAAAATATTGTCACATAAGCATAGAAATATTTATTAAAAGTATGGAAATGTGAAGCTATTGTTTTTCAGCATAGCTTCCATCTAGGACTACACACTTACTTCTGAAGTGGGTGTTCCTATCTCTAACACTTTTGTGAAGTCTTCTGCCCTCTTCAATTTACACCATGTCAAAATCTTCAAGTGACTCATTGTGTTCCTTTGAGTTTGAGAACAAAAATAAGTCTGGAGAGGCAAGATCAGGGCTTAGGGTGAATATGGTATGGTTTCCCAACAGAATTCTTCTAGGACACACCTTGTTTCCCTCAAATAATGATCAGGGCATTGCCATTATAGAAAAAAATTCCTTGATGCAATTTTCCTGACCTTTTTCTCATCAATGTAGTTTTCAATTTTCTTCCCCCAACCCCTCCCCAACTTCTTGTTATGAGTTAGTGAAACTTTACAGAGCAGCTTATCAGCTTTATATTTAACAAATCGTAATTTTGTCTGATCTTGGTTGAAATCCCCTCAGTGTAATATGAATTATCCCATTTCCTGCCTGTGTTTCTTGCTTCCATCCCTCCTCCTTTCTTTATCTTTCTTAATTTTGTCCTTAGGTAAATGCTGTCCTTTTGATCTCAAAATGTAGACCATTTCACGGTATGTGTTCCTCAATATGGGAAGTGTGTGGCTCTTTGGGATAAGCAAGGTCTGTGGTTGGAGCCTACCAACCACTCTGTGGGAGAAAGATAAGGCTTTCTGTTCCAGCAGAGATTTACAGCCTTGGAAATCCTATTATTGTTGTTAAGTGCCACCAAGTCGATTGGTTCCAACCACAAGGTTGACAGTTTAAACCTACCAGCTGCTTCTTGGAAACCCTACACAGAGTCACTGTGAGTCAGAGCCAACTTGACGGCATTCACTTAACAACAACAACAACATGCTCTACTACACTCATGGAACAAAACACTGCAGTCACTATGAGTTAGAACTAACTTGATGGCATCTAACTGCAATAACAAAGCAAACATATCCATGCCATTAATCATACAATGGCAACAACAATGGCCCAAACATAACAACACTTGTAAGGATGGCACATGCACGTTGCTGCCACTTTGTGAATTCATCATGTTGGGGATCTCATCTTTTTTGTTGACCCTCCATTTTACCAAGCGTGATGTCCTTCTCCAGAGACTGGTCCCTCCTGAAAGCATGTTCAAAGTGGAAGAGACAAAGTCTTGCCATCCTGGCTTCTAAGGAATATTCTTCTCTAATACCATATATTAAAACACATCAATTCTAAGGTCTTTCTTATTCCTTATCCAACATTCACATACATGTGAGGTGATTGAAAATTATCATGGCTTTGGTCACCTTAGTCTTCAAAGTGACACCTTTGCTATTTAAAAATTTAAAGAGGTCTTTTGCTGTTTTCATAAGCATTGATTATTGGATCCAAGCAAAATGAAGTTTTTGACAACTTCAATCTTTTCTTCATTTATCATGATGTTATTTATTAGCCCATTTGTGAGGATTTTTGTTTTCTTTACATTGAGATACAATCTATACTGAAGGCACTAGTCTTTGATCTTCATGAGTAAGTGTTTTAAATCCTCTTTGCTTCCAGCAAGCAAGGTTGTGTCATCTGCATATTGCAGGTTGTTAATGAACTTTCCTCCAATCCTGATGTCACATTCTTGTTAATATAATACCATTTCTTGGATTATTTGCTAAGCACACAGATAGAATAAGTAAGGTAAAAGAATACAACTTTGGCTTTAAACCACTCAGTATATTCCCTTCTTCTGTTCTAAAGATTGCCTCTTGGTCTATATGCAGGTTCTTCATGAGCACAATGAAGTGTTCTGGAATTCCTATTCTTAACAATGTTATCCGTACGTAGTTTGTTATGACCCACACAATCAAAGGTCTTTGCATAGTTACTAAAGTACAAGTAAACATCCTTCTAGTATTTTCTGCTTTCAGCCAAAATCTATCTGACTTCAGCAATAATATCTCTCCTTCCATGTCTTCTTCTGAATCTGGCTTGAATTTCTGGCAGCTCCCTGTTGATATACAGTTATAACTGGTTTTGAATTACTTGAGCAAAATTTTACTTGCATGTGATATTAATGATATAGTTTGATGATTTCCCCTTCTTTTGGGTCACGTTTCTTTGGAATGGGCACAAATATGATGTCTTCCAATCAGTTGGCCTGTTGTTGTTGTTCTTATGTGCCGTGGAGTCGGTTCCG